CTTCCTGTTAGCAATGACGTGGAAAGAGGATCCTGAGTCGATGACCAAAGAATCCGAGTCGCTATCCATAGCAAGGATCAAGGCATCATGCACAATATGAGCCTCCTGCTCACCCGTATCCTTCTTTGGACTCTTGCAGACTGAAGACATATGACCCTCCTGACCGCAGTTCTAACACTTTCCTTTAATAGGCCTAACCTTTGAGTTTGACCTCTTTTTCACTGATTTCGACCAATTCCTGTTCTGGTTTCCTTTCTTCTGACTTCTGCCTCTCTGCTCGAAACTTAGAGCTGAACCTGAACATTCTGATTCGGACAATTTCCTTCTAACCTCCTCGGATAGAATCATGCTAACAACCTCACTCAGCTTCAACTTCTCTTTTCCCTTGGAATTACTGATTGACGTCACACAACCTGCCCAAATATCAGACAACTGCGATAGAATCAATAAGGCTTGTACTTCGTCATCGAACGTGATGTCTACGGAGATAAGCTGATCAACAATCGTGTTGAACTCGCTAAGGTGCATCGTGAAGGACAGTCCTTCTGCCATCTTGAGGTTGAAAACAGTCTTGACGAGATGCACTTTGTTTGCTACCGACGGCTGCTCGTACATCTTCGCGAGCACTTCCATAAGCTCCACCATCGTCTTCTCCTTCAAGATATTGTGGGCTACTGATTTGACGAGCAACAACCGGTTTACCCTAGAGCCTTCCTATCCAGTATCTCCCAATCATCATCTGACTCTTTTTTCTTCTGTCCCTTATCCTTGCTCATCAACGGGCGATACAAGTCCTTTTGGTACAAATAGTCCTCTATCTGTGACTTTCAGTAGACAAAGTCTGAGCCGTCAAACTTCTCGATCTTAGATTTGATTTTCTCTGTCATGACTTTTACACAAATTGCTGAACGAAGATTTAATACCAATTGTTGGGGATTCGAAACAATCAAATCGAAGCCTTACCCTTCCGGACCTTGTGTTGAAAGTAGGAAAGTAGGAAAATTCACCTCAAGTAAAAATCAAAAACTTGCATAAATAATAAAGGAGACGAACACACAGATTTAACGAGGTTTGGTAACGTGCCTACGTCTTCGGGAGCTACACCACATAATTCTTTTGATTAATTGAAGAAGAAATACAAGCTCTCAAACTAGGGTTTTATCTCTCTGAGATTCTCTCTTTTTCTGCTGTCAAAAACTCTCTTTCTTTCGTGTGTATACAAGCCCTAAAAATGTTTAGGTATATATAGAGTCCTGACGAGAGCAGAAAACATTACAGTGTTGGCGCGGTCGACCGCCACAGTTGATTATTTTTGGATTTCAACAAAAACTGGGTATTACTGATGAGATTTTAAAAATCTGACAATCTAGTTGGCTCCATCTCATTAAGATAGGCAATTTACGTATAAAATATGCCAGGATACACCTTCTGGATTAAAAGGTATGATTGTTTCTTTGCGAAAGTCAATAATGCGTATGAGTTGGCATTTAGCTCGTGATTATCACACTCCTCCATGAAATTGTCCGTTAAGCGTCCTACATCACATATGATATTGAATGTACTGACCAGTGTTAAAGTGGTCTTTTTGGCAAAAGTAAATTGACCTTCGGGCAACCTATCGTAGCGCTAGGTACATTCTATCCCCAGTGCGTGACAAATGGTATTATAACAGTTTGCCAGCTGGAAATGTAGAGTTTAGTGCTATACGGGGCTAAGTGCTACCCCACGTGAATGCAGTGAGAGCCACGTCTAGAGTTCGTAGGAGCCACCTCTAGAGTCCACATCGTCTGATGGCGATACTGGGATGTGCCAATTGTCATGTCACGACGAGGATGTCGCCTTTGTAAGGTGGGGTGAATGTGACATCCCACTTAGTGGGATTGATAGTGATATTTCCCAAAATTTTAGTCTCATATCTGTGGGAGGGTGGTTGAAGTGTTTATATAATGAGAGCTAAAGACTCAAGTGTAACATATGCTAGTTGATTTTGGCGGTGCTTTGAGCCAAACACTTAGCACTTAGCCCCGTATAGCACTTAGCTCCACACTTCCGGCTGGCAACTGTTCTGATACCATTTGTCACGCCCCGGGTCATAGGCCCGTGGGTCCGGGGCGTGACAATTTATACACTATTTTATTTTATGTTTACGTTATAATTGTTTTTCACATGCTACAAAATTTAACACAATTACTTTATGAGGGTTATTAGATGCAAAATTTTACTAAATAACCTTATTGGCATCCTTCAGCTTCAATGCAAACGAAATAAAACATAACATGAAAAGCGATTCCAACAAGATCAGATGATTCCTGATCACTGGGTTCAAGATGACGTGGTGCGGGTGTCTATTGGCGGTAGCTTTAAAGCGACTGCCCATAGAAATCCTCGCGTAAAATATTACAACAACAAAGTTAATTATGATACAATAATTGTCGATGATGACCAAGAAATTAAAGAGAGGTAAATATGACGAAAAGGTATCGTACCAAATATTTTTAGCTACATCAGCGGATAATTAAAGAGAGCTTAATTACTTCTACTCATAGATGTGACCAAGAAAATAATAACTCTGATATCCAATTTTGCATTAATTACCTCTAACGTACAGATTATAACACACCGACAGCGACCATGACGAAGATAACGAGAGGAAGGGGATACTTAGGGTCTGTTTGGATTTGTAGGGGCTAAATACCCATATTGGTATTTTAGTTCAACCTCATTTGCCAAGAAGGTATTTTAAATAAAAAAATCGGCGTTAAGGCATTTTAATTGATTAAAATTACCAATTAGGTCATTTTTCTCGTCGGCGACCACTTTTCCGGCGAGAACTCGTCACGTGCGTGACACGTGATGACTTAATCTGTATAAATACCCATATTGGTATTTTAATTCAACTCAATTTGCTAAGAAGGTATTTTAAATAAAAAATCGGCGTTAAGACATTTTAATTGATTAAAATTACCAATGAGGTCTTTTTGCTTGTCGGCGACCACTTTTTCGGCAAGAATTGGTCACATGCATTTTAATTCAACCGGTTTTCTGACGTGGTAGTGGCAGGAAGAATAAGAGTCGATGCATTTTAAAATCCCCCATTTCTAAAATTGGTAAAAAAATTAGCGAAAAATTCGTGGAGAAATTACCGTATAAATAGAACATCTTTCTCTTGCATCGATCCATGGTCGCGCCGGCGGCAATCTAGTCTGCAGTGATCTTCGTTTTCTCATTCTCTTCTCTCCGAATTCCCATGGCGTTTTCTTCTAGAAGTTCCTGGAATCGGGGGTTTTGGCTGATTCTGTTAGCGGTAAATGTAAGATAATTGAGTTGGAACTAAGATCTGGAGTGAATGCGTGGAAGTTTGATCTTTGTTTTGAAATTTTTAAGGTTCAGGTTGGTTCGTTTTGGACTTAAATTGTGATTAAGCCACATCAGCAGCTAAAACCGAGCCACATCAGCAAACCGAGCCACATCATCAGCTAAAACACAGATTAAGTCATCACATGCCACACACGTGACGAGTTCTCACCGGAAAAGTGGTCACCGACGAGAAAAAAGACCTAATTGGTAATTTTAATCAATTAAAATGCTTTAATGCCGATTTTTATTTAAAATACCTTCTTGGCAAATGGGGTTAAATTAAAATACCAATATGGGTATTTATACAGATTAAGTCATCACGTGCCACGCACGTGACGAGTTCTCGCCGGAAAAGTGATCGCCGACTAGAAAAAAGGACCTAATTGGTAATTTTAATCAATTAAAATGCCTTATTGTCGATTTTTTTTATTTAAAATACCTTCTTGGCAAATGGGGTTGAATTATAATATCAATATGGGTATTTAGCCGATTTGTAGGGGGTGAAGGGAAGTTAAGGGAAACTGAGAGAAGGGAAGGGAGTTCCCTTCCCCTTAGTTACACCCCAATTTGGGGGTAACAAATTTTATACTATTAGGGGGTGAACCAAGGGGAACTAGGGTGAATTAACTTCACCTCCTAAGTGTTCCCAAACAATATGAATGGAGGTGAATGATTCTCCTAATTTCCCTTCACCCCCATTCCCCTCAATCCAAACAAGCCCTTAGGGGTTTCTTTTTCTGATGGAAACCACTTCTAAAATAGGGTTGTAATATAGAAACCACCTACATTGTTTAAATACCAACCAACAACTATGTTTAGCTTGCAGTCAACCATCAACGACCAATTTCTGTTAATTTTTGGTCCAAACTTCCATTAATTCCCTTAATGAAAAACAAGTGCGGAGCACGTCTACCCCACTCTAAACCAGGGCTTAACCCATTGATTTAGCTTTATACTGTTGTTTTCCCTCTTCAAGCCAAGCCCTAGGATTAGAGGTACGTAGAAGAAGATCAAATAGGGAAAATCTCTTGTTGCTTTCACTTTTTATTATTATTTATGTTTAGTTCTTTTAATTTATTTTGAAAACTCGTCATCTTTACTTGCTTTGTCTCTTCAATTTAAGTCCATCATATGGTAGAGAAACATAGGACCTTTTGTTTTTTAAATGACATGGTAGAGGGATCAGTGGGAGGACAAAAAAAATGTTGAGCATGCATTTAAAGTTTGAACTTGACGAGATGGCTAAGAAGACGAAGCTTTCATAGTGATCTTTTCAGTTTTTGTGATTGTGTTTTTGGCGGATGAGAAAACAAAGTACGTAGCTTTGATGAGTTTTGGAGCAGTGGCATACATGTACTGGGGGCGAAAATGTAATTCCAGGGGGGGGTTTCTGCATAATGTGATTGAATGGAAAAGCGTCCTTGTTACATTAAAATATATACTTTTAGCATTGTGCTCCTTCGTTCTCGTAATTTACGACAGACATAATTTGATTCTTATATCAACATACATCACCTTTTACTGCCAAATTAAGATAGATGAATTATAGAGATGGGCTTTTTATTTATTTTAAACTCCTTTGTTTATCAAGATGGAAGAGTTGATCGCCATGCAAATGGCTCTCGTGGTGATATAACCAGCGCTGGTAAAAAAGACTTCTCAAATAAATAAATTTATAAAAATATTTTTCAGGTACAAAGATAGGAAGCAAGTTCCTTTCTCCTCGTATCTATTGACTTGAAAGCCGCAAAAACGAATATTTTGTAAATCCAATTACATTGTGGTACACATCACCAAAACACATCGCACGCGAGTATCTCTCTCCGTAGCATCTCCCATCAGATTTCATCAGTTCATTAGACATTTTTGTATTTTCTTGTGGCAATGCTGGAGATGAACACATATCACGTACAGAATATGTGCGCTTTTTCAACCGTGCTCCTCTTCTCACAATCAATTTCATATCGGCAGTCCTCAGCGACAAACGAAGGAATAAGGGCAGCTTCACATGCTCTACCGACCACCTTGCGGAGACCATCAAAATTATTTCCTTGCTTCATGCTTTTTCTTCTATTTTACTTCAAAATTGCTTCTATGCTTCAACATTTTTCTCCTAATTTTCTTCTGACAATAAATATTCTCCCTATAGATAGCTTCAGACAACAGGATCGAGGTGATTAAGCATCTAGGAGGTTTGCTGTTATAACCAACAGGAATAGGAGAGAGCGACACCCAACTTCCTTTTTCCTTTCTGAAATATAGTACTCCCCACTACTTCGCAAAAATATATTTCTCAGTAAACAATAAATATGTTTTGCAAAAGTATCATTCTAAAAGTGGTACCGCATCCATGCACAAATGTACCAACTTTCTCTGGTATTCTCCATAATACTCGCTCACTATGTCCAGCTCCTTTATCTCAAAATTCCTACCAGGCAAGCGAAATTTTTGTTTCTTTTCTGAGGAGATTTCTGAAGCCCAATCAACAGCTTCATTTTCAGAGGTAAGTTTTGCATATATTTCATGGCAAGCAACTAATAACATAGCTGCAGTGTCTGATTGCTGGGCCTCATGAAGTGCAGATAATGCATCATGAAGAGATCCAGCAGCAACATACAAAATAAGAGCCCTGAAAAATCAGTATCAAAAAATTTGTCAACCTACTAAAGCATTAAATTTTTAAATAAATATCTTCTCTCGGAAATATAGTTGAGGTGAAGTCACCTCCAAATGTTATGTTCGGTATACAGAACATAGCTCGCCCATCTTTGCAGTACCCTGCAAGTATATTATACATCCAAAAATTCAGTGATTATATATTAAGAAAAGCTAAGCTATGACAATGTTAAGCTCATTTTAGACGCTACAAACTATTTAGATTAGTCCCAATAGAATAGATCCTCAATGGGGATGAACTATCATAGAACTTCCGCAAGGACTTCGTTCTGATTCCTTCCAGAAAGTATTCCACACATAAAACATGTATCTTGAATTACATCCATCAAAGTTTCTAGTTTTGTATTAATTTATAGTTTGGAGTAGTTTACATAAAAACAATGCATGAATTGATCTTATTGTTGTTTAGGGAAATAAGAGCTCATGTCTAAATTGATGCATAGTGTTTGATGCATCAAGAATCCGACAACACAGTTCATACACTAAACAGTTGGAAGATGGGGTGATATGTGCCAAAAAAATGACTGTTGAAATAAAAGAAAGGAGAAGAATTTTCTATGTCCTCATTGGTTATGAATACCCCATATTTATATACCTCGTAGAATCTCTAAGAAAGAAAAGTTCTAATAATAAAAGGAAGCATATAACCTAGGAATGTCCAAGATAGAAAGAGACTATTGACTAATACATCGAAATCTAGACTCCTTTATATAATATGAAATCTTCCAATAGACTCCTTAGCATATGTTTATATATCTGTTGTGATTCATTTTAGGAAATACCAGTGCCCATTAACAGCTTTAAATGATACTCCCACACTACATAGTACTCCGATCACGTAGATGATTTTTGAACTACAGAACACCAAGTTTATATGTAACTGCATTTGAGGAAGCAGAACCATATGGTAAATTCTCATAAGATATCAAGCAGGAAGTGGAGAATAATCAATTGGAAACAATTTGTAATCAGATCCATGCAAATGCGTAGCAGCTAATGTAGCAGCATCTATCCAACACCCAGCATCTTGAAGCTGTAACAATCACAGACTTCTATTAGAAACACTATAACAACAGTTTAAGAAATATGTAGCACTGCTGACTCGCTTGATGAAAACAATCATTTTCTGAAGTCAGCTACATTCTGACCAAAGGCATAAAAATACTGATCCTCATAAGACTGAAAAGAAATAACTTTATAGATAGTTAGAATTGCTTTGTTACATGGCTGTCTCACCACGCATCACATTCAACTTTTGAGTTAAAATGATTTACTGACATGGTACGTTTACTCCATCTAGTCTGCCTTTCCAAGTCTGTGCTTTCCACTGGAGTTCTTCCAGCAGGGCTGGAAGTTTCTAAAAGTGGATGTTTAAGTATAGGATATACATCCGACATGTATGACAAGTGCTTTTAAGTTGAAACATGTATTTTATGATTGACTACTCGTCCGAATAAATGCATGTATATATTCAAGTTATGTCCAAGAAGGGTCGGCCACGGGTATGGGTATGGGACATGTCGGGTATGCGTACCACTTCATGGTAGAAGTTCTCATGCAAGATGCAACAGAGGTGTTCGTAAATGGCATGTCCTTAGCTACCGCATTCACTCATCTTTATATCATCACAATCATTTCAGAACATGTGGTGCACTGCCAAAACCATAGGCAACCATATGGTCTAAAAGATTAACTACTCCATTTACATAATTATTTAGGTTGGTCCAGAAAGAAACATGAAACTCTTTAGAATTTATATTTTCCTGCAACATAATTAAGAAGGATGTTCATAATTTATGATGTTCGCATATTTTGTATTGCTTGTCAGAATGAGTAGCATTCTTGACATTGTAGTAGCCACACCTTTTGTAATCATGGCTAGCATATAATTAAATCAAACTGAGAAGGTACAATGCAAATTTAGCACGGAGATCTAACCTGGGAGCATGCTTCCTGATACCTGCCAACAGCACAAAGAAGATGAGTCCCTGACAGTGACTTGTCAGTCCTCACCATGTTGGCTGCAACCACCTGCATAAGGGATCATTGAAAAGTCAAGCTCATAAAGCAGCAGACATATTGATTAATGATTTAGCACAAAAGATTTGCATTCATAAAGAATATTAAAATTGCATCTAAAACAGATGTAACTAAGGATTATGTTCTCTTGGTTGGCATTAATCCCCTGTGAAAACAAGACTATACAAGACACAGTGGTAATTATGTATTCACCTTCACAGCAAGTTCATGTAGCGATTTTGACACAGCAGAAGAAAGTGCTACAGCACGCAACGCATTGGGATAAAAGTGAGATCCTTCCGGAGGGGTGGAGAGAAGTAAAGATACAGCAGCTTCTAAGTCACCAACAGATATGAGCCTGATATCATCAGAATAAACCATGAATACAATTTTCACTGTCAATTTGTAATGCAAAAACTGATGGTGCCTAAATCCTTTTATTGGCACACCATACTAAGAGAAATAAGACAGAACTGATCAGTGTCATCAATGCGAAAGGCGCAATGCTATGCGTGTGCCCGAGTGAAGCGAGGAACACAACACGCACATAATTTTCAAGATGGTTATCATGCATGAAAGAGCATGTTTACATATCTTCACATAAAGTATGTCAAGAAAAACAATATCTACTAAAAAAATCACAAAATAAGGTCTTAATTTCTTATGCTAACACATTCAACATAGAGCAAAGTTCATAAATTTTCAAATCAAGAGTCAAATCAAGGCTAATATTGAAGCGAACTTATGGTCCTCAATTGGGCTACTAGAAAGGCCTAACAGGTTATTTTGCTTTTAGGGTATGAGTCATCGGGTATAAAGGTCCGATTGAAATGTTAAGGAACAGAACTATATGTTGCTATGCCTAGCATGTGCCCTATACGAAGCACAGGTCACTTGCGAGGTGCAAAAGGCGCCGCTACATCAAATGTGGGACGCTTCACCATTGCCCCCGCATTGCAGGGCGCATAAGGCACAGTGATGCGAGCGCCTTTGAGAACACTGGGACTGATAAATGTACTTTTTATGGAACCTGTACAGTAACTGAAATTTCCTTGGTAAGACATTAAGTAACAACATTATTACAGGTTTGTCTGCACAGGCCACTTTATACATTAAATATGGCTAATTTTTCATTTCCCTCTGGACACTGTTATTGCCACCTCTGAATCTGAAATTTAATGGTATAGGATGGTCAAGCGACCTCCAACTTCTCTGGTTCCCTCGGGTTATCAAAAACTGTAATACCCCAACCCTTAAGAGGGTGATGTGATTAGTATTGATAGATTTGATTGGAATACTCATACCACTCAGTCCCCATTTTGGCAAATAAGCACCCACGAATTTTGCAAATAAACCCCCAAGTTTCGGCCATAGCAAGTTTTGCACAAAACCCCCATAAAGCCTACTCCCTACATAAACCCCTATCTACCAAGCATAAAGATGCAATCTTCAAAGCAAAATAGGAGGATTGAGGAGGGGATCTTACCCAAATCAAGAGAGATTCCTCCGGGCTCGGAAATGGAAGTTGAAACCCAAGATTGAGAGAGGATAAGATTTGAGCCGATGGGTATCCACCAAAATCCGAGCTTTCTTGAAGGTTGGATTTCTTCAATGGAGGCAAGAAGCTTGGGAAGAAGAAGAGTCAAAACCGAATGGGGGGGGAAGAAACTCGGTTTTGGAGCCAAAGAGGGGGATTTTCTCTCTTGAAAATTTGAATTAAAGAGAGGGGGGGGACCATAAGCACATGAGACAAAACAAGAAGAGGACAAGAAAGAGAGGGGGGGACCGCTAGGGGAGAAACACCCCTAGGGGTGTCTCGGCCTTGCCGAGACACCCCCAAGGGTGTCTCGGCATTGCCGAGACACCTCATGGGTGTCTCGGCCATGCCGAGGCACCCCAGGGGTGTTTGACCGGGTTTTGACTTTCCGCGCGATGTTTTGACCCCCGAGAGATTCTCCGACACCCTGAAGTGTTTCTTCTGTTTCCTCTATCCCACAAGAGTTGGTTTTCTCCGCCGACGGTTGAAAATATGGATGAATTCCACAAGTCAACTTTCGACGGTTCAAAACCCTAAGGTGGACGCCGGTCAACGCGTAACCTTAGGTCAACGCCGGTCAGCGCGTTGCGACAAAAGTCAACACGTGTAACCTGGGAGCATGCTTCCTGATACCTGCCAACAGCACAAAGAAGATGAGTCCCTGACAGTGACTTGTCAGTCCTCACCATGTTGGCTGCAACCACCTGCATAAGGGATCATTGAAAAGTCAAGCTCATAAAGCAGCAGACATATTGATTAATGATTTAGCACAAAAGATTTGCATTCATAAAGAATATTAAAATTGCATCTAAAACAGATGTAACTAAGGATTATGTTCTCTTGGTTGGCATTAATCCCCTGTGAAAACAAGACTATACAAGACACAGTGGTAATTATGTATTCACCTTCACAGCAAGTTCATGTAGCGATTTTGACACAGCAGAAGAAAGTGCTACAGCACGCAACGCATTGGGATAAAAGTGAGATCCTTCCGGAGGGGTGGAGAGAAGTAAAGATACAGCAGCTTCTAAGTCACCAACAGATATGAGCCTGATATCATCAGAATAAACCATGAATACAATTTTCACTGTCAATTTGTAATGCAAAAACTGATGGTGCCTAAATCCTTTTATTGGCACACCATACTAAGAGAAATAAGACAGAACTGATCAGTGTCATCAATGCGAAAGGCGCAATGCTATGCGTGTGCCCGAGTGAAGCGAGGAACACAACACGCACATAATTTTCAAGATGGTTATCATGCATGAAAGAGCATGTTTACATATCTTCACATAAAGTATGTCAAGAAAAACAATATCTACTAAAAAAATCACAAAATAAGGTCTTAATTTCTTATGCTAACACATTCAACATAGAGCAAAGTTCATAAATTTTCAAATCAAGAGTCAAATCAAGGCTAATATTGAAGCGAACTTATGGTCCTCAATTGGGCTACTAGAAAGGCCTAACAGGTTATTTTGCTTTTAGGGTATGAGTCATCGGGTATAAAGGTCCGATTGAAATGTTAAGGAACAGAACTATATGTTGCTATGCCTAGCATGTGCCCTATACGAAGCACAGGTCACTTGCGAGGTGCAAAAGGCGCCGCTACATCAAATGTGGGACGCTTCACCATTGCCCCCGCATTGCAGGGCGCATAAGGCACAGTGATGCGAGCGCCTTTGAGAACACTGGGACTGATAAATGTACTTTTTATGGAACCTGTACAGTAACTGAAATTTCCTTGGTAAGACATTAAGTAACAACATTATTACAGGTTTGTCTGCACAGGCCACTTTATACATTAAATATGGCTAATTTTTCATTTCCCTCTGGACACTGTTATTGCCACCTCTGAATCTGAAATTTAATGGTATAGGATGGTCAAGCGACCTCCAACTTCTCTGGTTCCCAACCCTTAAGAGGGTGATGTGATTAGTATTGATAGATTTGATTGGAATACTCATACCACCAAGATACATCTTCTTTTCGGGAACCCAACTCTTAGAAACTCCAAAGTTAAGTGTGCTTGGCCTGGAGAAATTCTAGGATGGGTGACCCCTTGGGAAGTTTTTCAAGGAGCGCGTGAGTGAGGACAAAACGTGCTGAAAAGACATGTGGTGGTTTGTGAAGCCAGTCCATCAGATCTAATAGCGTACCGACTCCGCGATTCCGGAACAGGGCATTACAGTTGGTATCAGAGCCAAGCCAACCGGAATTGTGAGAGCTAAGTGCTATGCGGCGCAAAGTGCTACGTCGAGAGGGCGGGAGCTACCTCTTGAGGCCGTAGGAGCCACCTCTAGAATCTCACACGGATGGTACGGTCTTGGATGATATGATTTGGCACAACGAGGACGTTGTGAGTTTAAGTGGGGGAGTTTGTAATACCCCAACCCTTAAGAGGGTGATGTGATTAGTATTGATAGATTTGATTGGAATACTCATACCACCAAGATGCATTTTTTTTTCGGGAACCCAACTCTTAAAAACTCCAAAGTTAAGTGTGCTTGGCCTGGAAAAATTCTAGGATGGGTGACACCCTAGGAAGTTTTCCAGAGAACGCGTGAGTGAGGACAAAACGTGCTGAAAAGACATGTGGTGGTTTGTGAAGCCAGTCCATTAGATCTAATAGCGTACCGACTCAGGGATTCCGGGGCGGGGCGTTACAGAAACTCTTGCTCTTCACTACCTAGTATTGAATGGTGCACAATATTCTTTTATGTTCCTTCTCACAATCAAAATATACTAAGTGCAATCCCTCTGTAAGGAAGGTATGATCCTCTCACACAATGTGGATTGTCTGAATAATCAAAAGGCTAAATGCAGAAAACTAAATGGATGATGAACTATGCTTGGACACTATTTAGATACCATGCTCTTGGGAAGTAATTAGGAAACCAAGGAGCAACCCCCTAGAATGTTCAAGTGACTAGAGAGAGAAGTAAGATGAAATATGCTCTTAATGGCATTTGTCCGAGGAAATTATGCATGAAAGAGCCAAATGGAACTGATTTACAAAATTGATAAGAAAGGACAAATTTAGTTACTAATTACATGTATGTTGCAGCAATGGGTGGATAAGTTAACGTCAGTTTATGTCTGGAAATGGTGTTACAAAACATTTTCAGAATCTGATACCTGCTCATGGAATTCTTAGAGTTGTCTAAAGAGTATTAGAGTTACTGACTTACTGGTATAGTAGTAAAGTTAAGAGTTAGGAGAAAGTGGAAAGTCATATCCTAGTTGTCTTTACTTCTCTATTATAAAGAAAGTTTGACATTCTCCTCTGAAATTAAGTTGTTTTTTTCTTTCAAACAAAAATGGTAGCAGAGCATCTCTGATTATTTTAGAAAATATATAAAGAAGAAAGAGAGAGAATTGTTGTACTACTCTAGGCATACACTCTGGAAAAATATCAAAAGATAGAAAACAACAAGAAACAGAAAGTTGTGATTATCTTTGCGTCTTTTTCCTTGTCTTTGTGGATCTTCTTCACCCTCACTGAGTCTTCTCTTGGTCATGAATATTCTTCTGCATCGGGTCCTCATCCTCTCTAGCGAGTCTCTCGTGTGCCACCGCTACTACACCTTGTCGATACCAACTATCACCCATCCAACACCATTGCCTATCTCTACCTCATCTCCAGCTTCAACCAATGTGTCTAACGACAACTTTGCCTCTGTTCAACCTCCTCCGGCTCTTCTTCACTCACAACTTTAAGATTTGACAAACCGAACATCAACTCCACCTCTCGCGCCTCCTCTATTCACCAAATTTGTCCTCGACAAGCCTCCGACACCACTTCCTTTCCTTGATGTTGAGCCGTTGACTCCCTTCGATTCTGATGAAGAACTAGGCCAATGAGCTCTGATCTCTTAGCTTGTGCCACCCGCCTATAAACAAATGTCCTTTATTCATCTAATGTTTTGTCAACCCCACCTATACAATTGGATCAGATCAAACAAAACAATGCAATTCAAGACAATACCTCAATACTCCTAATGACCCAGTTACACTTTCCAAGGTTGGGTATGATTCCCTACTTACCGAAAATACAGCAAGTCCCCACAACAGATAAAAACCACTTTGGCAAATTCGTACATTTCAATGATTTCACGTCTTGCAAGTTCATCTCTTAATTGTTGGATCTTAATTGTTGGATCTTAATTGTTGAATCATTGATTCTGGTGCATCCACTCACTTCTATGGTTAAAGTAACTTACTATCACTTTTCAACCTTCTATTTTTATTCTTCTGTTCTCTTTGTTAGTGGTCGTCCCATACCTATTCCTGGCACCCAAACAATGCAAACAATGTGCTTTGTTCTGCAATTGTTTTGTCAACCCCACTATCTCATGATCCGATTTGCTCAGATCAATCAAAACAATGAAATTCAAGACAATACCACACACTCCTAGACATACTCTCTAAGCTGCAGTACGATTCCCTATGACGGAAGATACAATCAGTCCTACAACAGATAAAACTACTTCGGGACGTTCATGTATTTCATGTTGCTAGTTCCTCTGTTAATTGTTAGATCTATGATTCTGCGCATGCACTCACTTTCTGATAAAACTAATTTATTTTCTTATTTTCAACCTTTTATTTTTTTTATTTTTCCATTCAGTGGTTGTCCTTATCTATTCCTGACAATTGTAGGGTTCAAGGTTTAAATATCTACCATCATATCAAATATGGCAACCGACATGTCGGTTTGGAGGCGCAAATGCTACTATATGGAGTGTCTATATCGAATAGCGTTTTGGAGACAGTGTAGGCGACATATTGGGAAATTGCATAAATCGCCCGAAATTTCGGCCTTTATATATCGCCCAAAATCAAGAAAATAGGTTTCAGCCCGGTTGTCATCTAAATCCTCTTTAAAACCCAACCCAACCCAGCCTAAAACGCCAATAGATAAAATCCACACTAATCTATGATTAGGGAAATGTTCAGATCTATATCGATCTCGACTCCTTCATCCTTGAGGAATTGGCAATTCCACGGTCCACCGAAGTGTTGCAACACCATCACGGTGATCATCTTCAAGGTGATTTCACTGATGATACTAGCAAGAAAAAGTTCTCTTTCCGGGGCTTTGAAGAATAGATTCAACTAATAATCATATTCGAGCAATTATCTCTCCCCTTCACTCTTACCTACCACCCCAAACCCACCCCACAACCCACCCAAAAAAGAAATACTTCAGCTGAAATTGTATGTTGGTTTTATTCTATCATTTCTATAAAGAATTAATGTATAGTTGTTTGGTTGAATATTTTGTTTTAGACTGGTGTTCTAAATTCTAATTTCATGTATGTTGATTTTAATTAATAGAAAGATGCAGTGTTTTAAATGTCGGCTGACATGACATGTTGAAATTAAGGGCCAACTGACACAATATTGAACTTTCTAATGTGTATTGCGTTTTTAAGGTTCATGTCGGATATATCGAGGGAACATGTCAGACATATCGGGCGGATATATTGGGGACATATCGGCTATGTCGGCCGATTTTTCATTCTGAAAAATTGGCTAAATTTTTTAATTATGTTTATCTAATCTTCATTGGGCTTAAATTCTTGATTGTCTTAATATTGCTTCTAACGACAAAACACAATCAGTTAGGGAAAATGAAAAAAAATATTGAAGTCAATTACGACGCTCATCTTCTCTCTCCTTCGATATCTCAGTAGTCTCTTCTCCAAGCCGTTCCTTCGATATCAATACGGGCAATCTTCTCTCTTCTTAACCGCCAACATCAGACTTCTCTTTTCTCACCTCTTTTCTTCACCATCAATCTAAGCATCATAAGTTATTTATTTTTTTATATATTTAGACAATAAAATTTATTAAGTGTGCTTAGATTTCATTTATAATATTTATATTATACATATGCACACCATCCGATATGACAATCCGATATTTTTTTCGTATCCCCCGATATATCCCTAATTTTCGCTATCCGACATGAATTTTAGCCGCCCAACATGAACCTGATATCCGACATTTAAAATCTTGGAAAAATGTAAGATCAAGGATCTAGT